AAAAAAAAAAAAAAAAAAAAAAAATTCTAACTGAGAAGTGTTGGCCTGATGAAGTTCCAGATATAAAATGTGTCGTTTGAATTCACGATGTTAGTATCATGATGCAGCACTGACATTTACCATCATGCTGATATACTAGAATAGTGATTTTTTTTTATACAAGAAACTATGAAAGTCAAACATGGATTCAGATATCTTTACATTTAATGTATAACACGAAGCATTATTACATGTAATTTCATAACTATAAAAATAATTTTAGAACATGAAGCATATTACATGTAATTCCATAACTATAAAAATAATCTTAATAGCATTATTGTACTTTAAACATTATTTTAAAAACATACAGTCCACAGTCCTCTAAGTATCTGATTTAGAGGGAAAGGGAGGTATCTATTAGGGTGAAGCATATGAAACTACGGTTTTTGTTAAGTTAAAAATGGTAAAATCTTGGGTATTTCATATGGTTCAACCTAATAAGATCCTGAGAAAATTTTATTTGGCATCACACTATAAATTCAAAGAGAATTTATAGAAAATCACATTTCTAGTGAAGATAAAAAACACTTCAGGATAGAAATGTGCACGATGGTCATGCCAAGATTTCTCCTTGTGATTTAAAGATCTGAAATCTTGGAATGTTAAGAAAAATTTAGTGCAATTTCAAAAAAACAGGACAACTAAAATCACAGAACAGTAATAACTACAGTGGCTAATGTCACTAAAACAGAAAATTACTAGCCAAATTTGGCAATTTTAAAGACTTTTAAAAGAGGTTTTATAATAAAAATTCCAGCATTAAAATGAAAAGGCACAAATGAACTACAAATATCATAATCATTTATAAAATCCTTGAAAATAAGGCCAATTCTTTTGTATTATTAATACCATTAAGTAGGCACTATCACAAGTTTTAGCTTTGGCCTCCTAGATGGAATTATGTTGCAAACGGATTATCAACACAATACCTACCATAGCAGCATCATCAGTAAGATTCTAGGACTTTATGATGCTAAGAGTATCAATAATTTCCTCCCCATCATAACCTATCAGTACCAAAAATACATTTAAAAAAATTGCTAGAGTCATAAAAATTTTTGGTTTGTCTTCAAACATTGAGCTCTTCTCTCACCAATGCCATCCCAACAAAAAATAAATAAAAACAAAAGCTACCCCTCCCTGACTCAGCACCCGTAGCACAGTGGTTACAGTGCCAGCCACATATACCAAGGCTGGCGGGTTCAAACCCAGCCTGGGCCAGCTACACAATGACAACTGCAACAAAAAATAGCTAAACAACAATGACAACTGCAACAAAAAATAGCCAGGGCCCCCGTTGTGTTGGGCACCTATAGTCCTAGCTACTTGGAAGGCTGAGGCAAGAAAATCACTGAAGCCCAAGAGTCTGAGGTTGCTGTGAGCTGTGACACCATGGCCTTCTACCCAGGGTGACAGCTTGAGACTCTGTCTCAAAAAAAAAAAAAAAAAGCTACCCCCCGCCCCCCGCCAAATTACTAGACCAAATAGACTAGCGATTCTTAGCTAAAGACATACCATATGAAAAGATGGTACTTTATTTACGAAATTTATTAAATATAATCAAAGTATATGAAGATATCCCCAGTGTGTCTGAATTGGGTGATGGTATACATGAAAAAAAAAATGTTATTCCAATAATGATGTTCATTTGGAACTCTGGTACCATTTACGAAGGGCCGCTCCAGTACTACTTGCTACTAGGCAGATAGCGCCGCCCACCGTCCACCATGTTGGCACATCATTAAAGAAAATAATCTGGAAGATAAAAGCAAAGACTACATCCATTGTCCTTGTTATTGCTACTATCCCTGCTTTTTCTATCTGAAGTCCTTTTGTAAGAAAAACCTGAGCCCCCAAACCAAAGAGGCCAATTAGAATGAGATATAGCCTGTCCAACCCACAGTAGGGCAAACTCCATTCTCCTAATATAAAGAGGACAATGATGGTTTCAAAGAGGCCAAATATTACGTAATACCAAACGGTCAAAAAGTAGTCCACAGATTTTCCCATTTTCCTTAGGATAACTAGAGTCATTCCAGCAAGTATAGCATGTCCAAGAGCTGCGAACGTTCCCTTCAGGTGAACTGAATAGCTTTCTTCCATCCCTGAAGAGCTGGAGCCAAACAAAAATGGTGGTCTCACGATAAGGATCACTCCAGTGATTGAGAACACGGTGAAAAGAGCATCCCAAGGGCTACATTTTTCCTTGAGAAATATCCAAGCAAATATAGATGTAAACACTGGACTGCTAAATGTGATAACTGTGGCATCAGCGAGGGACATTGTCTGGAAAGCATAGTATATAAGGATCATGGCGGTAGAACCAAGGACTCCTCTGAGAACGAGGAAAATTCGTCGATCTTTTGGGCCAATAAACCCAGTTCTGTAAATTCAAATGAAGAAATGCATTATTAAATGAAATTTTTGTTTTTAAATTATATTTTTTAATTAAACATTATATTAAAAGTACCAAAAAGAGAATAGAAGGTTAATTATAGTATCTACAACTGAATATTATATACCTTTTAAAAAGTGTTCTAAGCATAGCTAATGACATTAAAGTGCTCACAGTAAAAGCAAAACTAATACGGGAGAACTACATAAATAGCATAATTATAATTAATATAGATAATATTTTCCCCATGTACTATGTATATTTATGCTTGCAAAAAAGATAAAAAGAAAATAAACTAAATGTTAATAATGGTTATACCTTAGTAGGTAAATTCACAGGTTAATTTTTCTTCTATTCATTTTCTCCAAATGTTCTATGATGAAAATGTATCATTTTTATAATAGGCACAATTTCAAGATTTAGTTGTCCTAGATAAGGAAACTTGATCCTGGCTAATGTGCATTCTCAATGTCATTGAGTTTTTCTATAAAAGTTGAAACAATGCTGAAATGTATTTTAGCCACTGGATGTGAGACTTTTCATTATTCTCATTAAAACACACTGAAAAAGAATATGTAGTGTTTAGAAAAGTATAATGCTACTCAAATATTTTTCAGTTAAATATTTAACTAAACACCTACTCTGGGTAAGTTCCTGGCTAGGTGCAACCTGCTGATCTGTGCCAGGGCTGGACTTCTTTAGGGTATCATGTAGGCCGGACACGGACACCCCTGGGTATCTGGAGTTAGAAATGAAAGCACAGGGAGGTGCCTGTGGCTCAGTGAGTAGGGCGCTGGCCCCATATACCGAGGGTGGCAGGGTCAAACCTGGCCCTGGCCAAACTGCAACAACAACAACAAAAATAGCCAGGTGTTGCGGCGGGGGCCTGTGGTCCCAGCTACTCGCGAGGCTGAGGCAAGAGAATCGCCTTAAGTCCAAGAGTTGGAGGTTGCTGTAAGCTATGATGCCACGGCACTCTACTGAGAGTGATAAAATGAGACTATCTCTACCAAAAAAAAAAAAAGAAAGAAAGAAATGAAAGCACACTCACACTTGGCCCATACTTTTGAGAAGTTAAGAGTCTTCTACAATAGCAAAACATAAAAAAGGTCAAAACAGATTAGGGCCAAGGATTTTAAGAAAAATTCTTCTGGCTCAGTGCCTGTAGCTCAGCCGCTAGGGTGCCAGCCACATACACCAGGGCTGGCAGGTTCAAACCCAGCCTGAGCCTGCTAAACAACAATGCCAACTACAATAAGAAAATAGCTGGGTGTTGTGGCAGGCGCCTATAGTCCCAGCTACTTGGGAGGCTGAGGCAAGAGAATAGCTTAAGCCCAAGAGTTAGAGGCTGCTGTGAGCTGTGACATCATAGCACTCTATCAGGGCAACATAGTGAGACTCTGTCTCAAAAAAAAAAGGAAGGGCGGTGCCTGGGCTCAAAGGAGTAGGGCACTGGCCCCATATGCCGGAAGTGGCACGTTCAAAAAAAGAAAAAAGAAAAATTCTTCTAATGTCCTTCCTCTGACAATACCTTTATTCCAAAATGGGGGAGAAGATTATGGATTATGTTAGCATCAATGTTCTATTGCCACCCTCAGAAAGACTTTAGCATCAATGTTCTACTGCCAACCTTAGAAATTTCTAAAGTCTTACTACCATTTCCTAGAATACTGTAATTTGTCCATTCTTACACAAGAATTTCTGACAATATTAATCTTAGCAGATTCTCACTTTTTCCACCAAATCCTTAGGATAGGAAATGAAACTATTCTAAGTGAATCTACACCATGTTAGGGGGTACAAGGTGACTTTCGTGGCAAGTGACTAAAACTTTCAATTTTCAGTTTGGTAGTAAGCTTCTTTGCCCAAAGAGCCAGGGACCCAACTGGTTTTCCTACCAGGGTTCTAAGTCCACTGAGGTATGTGGAGGTTATAATGGTGGAGGGGAGCATAATTTTAACCTGGGGAAGGTGGAGGGTTGCACAGGGAAGGAGAAGAGGAGCACAGTGAGAGGGAATAGAGATAGTTCTCATGTATTTTACATTCTATACAAAGCACCCTGCCCTATAATAAATGTCATCTCACCCTTACAACCACCATGCAGGATAGAGGACAGAAAGAGCATTCCTTTCAGTTTACAGATGAGGAAACCAAATATTACAGTAGTGAAAAAGGCCTTGCTCAAAGTTACTCTTTCACGTTCTGGGGAAGACCTAAATATCATTACTGCAACCTTCTGTTTGCTCTGGTAAAAGAACAGCCTGTTCTACTTAAAGACACCTCTGACACTAAGAGACACTACGACTTCTTTTCATTTACTTTTTTTCTTCTGAACACTAGTTATACCAAAGGAAAGGAGGGAGGGTGGTACAAGATGGGGGAAATTATTCAAAGAAAGCTCTATTAAGCTGGACGAGGTGGCTCCTGCCTGTACTCTTAGCACTCTGGAAGGCTGAGGGGGGTGGATCTCTTGAGCTCACAAGTTTGGGACCAGCCTGAGCAAAAGCGAGACCCCATCTCTACTAAAAATAGAAAAAAAAAGTGAGGCAAGAGGATCACTTGAGCCCAATTTGAAGGTTGCTATGAGCTATGACGCCACGGCACTCTACCCAGGGTGACAGCTTGAGACTCTGTCTCCAAAAATAAATAAAACAAAGAAAGCTCTATTTTCAAAACAAGGGGTGGTAAATAACTAAACTTCTTTCCCTCCCTTTGTTGGGCATGTGGTTTGTGCTTATGGCAGAATTTTCTGCGGGTGGACCCTTGTGGCTTTTCATTGAGCAGATCCAAGGGGTATAGAGACTGGCAAATCTATAAGAGGGTTAAATTAGATACTGTAGAGTAAATGATTTAGGCAGGTCAAAAGATTTACACACATTTATTAGTATCTTCTACTTTGTAGTTAAGAAATACTTACTTTCTGTAAATTAAGCAAGGAATAATAACTAGCATTTGGAACACACATCGAAACGCACTAATCTCTACAGCATGGACGTCTTGCACTTTTTTAACAAATAAAGAGCTCAATGAGAAAAGGAAGGCAGACAATAATGTGTAAAACAAGCCAAGTCCAGGACAGGGTGCTTTCTTCTTGGCTTCTGAAAAAGATTAAATTCTGGTTAGTCCTTGCTTCCAAGTGTACGTTTTGTCATTATTCACTTAGAAATTGAGAAAAATGGAACAGTATCAAAGACTAACAGACTAACAAGTATAACTTCCTAGGCATATCCACTCTCTGGACCTGTACCATCTTGCCCATGAATTACGAGGAACCATAGTCAAGGGCAACAATTTAAACCTACATTTGAAAAATGCTACTTTGCCCTATAAACTGAATTTCCTTTGGCTCCCTGAAGAGTTATCCCTCACTTGCATGTCAAGAGGTAGAAAGCTTGCCAAGATGGCAAGACCCATTTTTAAGAAACATTTGTTGAGATGGAAAGTGAAAAATACTTCCAAATGATAGTATCTTATGCTACCTCACTAGGAAAAGTGAAGAAGTGTTCTTTTCTGGGAAACACGTTACAACTGTGTTACGCAGGTATGTGTTCATTCTCTGACTTCTCCCACAAACTTCCAAGGCCAGGACCTCAGCGGCTCTTGTCCATGCCTAGTCTATCAAAGACCCTAAATAAATATTCGATGGATGAAAAAAGAATATGAGAACTTCATTGAAAGCTGCAAAAGTCTAATGCTATTGGCAACACCACAATCTGGGAAGGCTTTCTGTTTTGTTATTTTGAACTGTTAATCAAATCTGTGTTTTAACTTTTCATTGTTCACGACTTATCTTTCCATTTAGGGCACAAACCGGGAGAGCAGGGGAAAGTTATCTACCTCTCTAGCTCTACAGGGCTTTGTACAGCGCTGCCATCTGATCCCTACTTCTTGGCTTGATGTGAATGAGCCAACTTGTGCATCAAGTATTCAATCCGTTAATGACAATCTGTGTGAGCTTTAGACTATTTTTTACTCACTTCCTATGGCTTAGTTTCCTAGAAAGGAATAGAACGTGCTTCAGTCTTACTCCCCTATCACTCAGAAGACAGCAAAGCAGACCAGGGTAAACAGAGAACTCCGTGAAAGAAAGGCCACATGCTAAGGAATATATACGTACATATATTTTTTCTTTTGGAACTAAAAGAAGAGGGTAAGAGGGAAACAACTGATCAAGAGCATAGCGGAACCAAAAGATGTGCAGACAAGAGCAATGGTAGGAAACTAGGATCATTCCAATCTGGGGGCCCTTGGCATTATTCTGATATAAACAGAATTGCATAATGCTTTTTGAATGCTATTCTCTGACCAATGTAAATACCAGGTAATATATTTTAATATCCTCATGTTAGTGAGATACCTTTGCCCACAAATGACTGCAAATTGGGACCAAAGGATGATGATACATAGCTGGGACCATTTACAGCCTGGCCTTTGTAGTCAAAGATGCCATTCTCATCAGGTCTTCTCCTTTTCCTAGGTCAGCGGTTCTCAACCTGGGGGTCGCGACCCCTTTGGACTGTATTAAAGGGTTGCAACATTAGGAAGGTTGAGAACCACTGTCCTAGGTGCACAGCTGAAGAGACTGCTTTGGAGTTGGCAGTCTTCATTCTAATGTAAGTGCTGGAACCTTTTGCGTTCTGTTCTGTACATATGTGCTCAGAAGCTGCAGGAAAAAACTACATCTACCCACTCAGCTCTTGAGAAAGAAGATTCACAAGACTTTCATATTAAGCACCACAAAATACATGCCTAGGCTGGGGTTAACCTTCGAGTTTGGCCTCTGAAATTTCAGAATTCAGGTCCAAATAAAACAGTTTTTCTAAAAAAAAAAAACTCCAACCCATGTATAAAACCTACACCCCTCAGATAGAACAAGAAGATCAAGGACAGAAAACATTTCCCCGGTCTATATTTAAGTATCTTTTCCAAACTAAACTTTTCTCCAAGAATATTTTAACTGAACATGATATATTAACTTTTCTTTTTTAACCTATTTTCTGAGATGGATTTTTAACTTTTTTTAAATGTAATTTTACACTGTTGGCCTTGATCTTTCTCTTAAAACATGTGCATGTTTTCTTTTTCTTTTCTTTTCTTTCTTTCTTTTTTTTTTTTAGAGACAGAGTCTCACTTTGTTGCCCTCGGTAGAATACTGTGCCATCACAGCTCACAGCAACCTCCAGCTCTTGGGGTTAGGAGATTCTCCTGCCTCAGCCTCCCAAGTAGCTGGGACTATAAGCGTCCGGCAGAACACCCAGCTATTTTTTGTTGCAGTTTGGCCGGGGCTGGGTTTGAACCTGCCACCCTCGCTATATGGGGCCGGCACCCTACTCACTGAGCCAAAGGCACTGCCTATATTTTCTTGCCTGTAAACATTTAAGGTTCATACTTTCAGAATGGGACAGAGCATAAGTTAGAAGGCCTACTCAGGGGTCCTCAAACTTTTTAAACAAGGGACCAGTTCACGGTCCCTCAGACTGTTGGAGGGCTGGACTGTGGGCCCCGGGACGAGTTGGCTGCTAAGCAGGACAGGCAGTGGCAGCAAAAACACCCAGCAGGCCAGATTAATGTCCTGGGCGGGCTGCATGTGGCCCGTGGGCTATAGTTTGAGGATGCCTGGTAGCTGATGACTTGTTAATGAGGGTGAGGGCTGGTTCTACTTATTAAGGCAAACTTCAGTCTGTTACTGGATAATTATTTAATTCTGTCATTGGAGAGGAGCAAGAGATTAGTATAATCCAAAGAGGCATTTGCTTATGTTCCATGTTTATATTTCACTGTAAGAATATTTAATAATTTGGCAACTCTAACTCAAATTAAGTGTTGTTTCTTGACTTAGACGAAAACTGAAAAATTGCTTAGCTTCTCTATCCTGTGCTTTAAGCTGGTGAGTCATACACATGGTTGAAAAATTAGAATCACCCCTGTAATTTTTACAAATTCAATTCCCAAGCCCTACCTCAGACCCACCAAAACAGAATCTCTAACTCTAAAAAAACTCCACTGGTTTGAAAACCACCGCTACACTAGAAAAATCACTGCTACCTTTCATGAGGCTTTGAGGGATAGGCCTAAGAGAGCATCTCTTAGCTTGAGTCCAATATCCACACTGTTCCTGTATAAAATAAATAGATGTCTTAGGAGAGCTGCACCCTGTTGGTTAAAGCTGTCCAAGAATGTAAGAAAAATGGGGAACAGTTTCAACCTGAACTTGACAATGAGCTTTTGATAACCAGTTTGAGTAAAGGCTAAAATGATACTTTCACTAAGTTTGATGATAACAGTACAATAGTTCAATGTGTTTATGGCAATCTTCTTTCCAAAACATTATCTAATCAAATATAATCACTATTACTGAGTCTTACTGTTAGTAACTTTCTTTGAAATTAAAACAAGCCAGGCGGTGCCCGTAGCAGTGAGTAGGGCGCTGGCAACATACACCCAGGCTGGCGGGTTTGAACCCAGCCTGGGCTAGCTAAACAACAATGACAACTGCAACAAAAAAATAGCCGGGAGTTGTGGTTGGCGCCTGTAATCCCAACTACTTGGGAGGCAGAGGCAAGAGAATTGCTTAAGCCCAAGAGTTTAAGTTTGCTGTGAGCTGTGATGCCACAGCACACTACCCAGGGTGCCATAATGAGACTCTGTCTCAAAAAAAAAGAAAAGAAAAAGAAAACAAATCACAAGACTCTTAAGTGCACTTCCTTACACAGGTGTGTGTCATTTTGCCATGCACTGAGTGTGCAAAATTCCTCCTCGGTTCCCAAAAAGGGGAAACTTTTAAAGAGTCTGCATGGACTGACTCAGTATGCCACCAGAATGACATTCCGCTACAGGTCAATAGGTGAGAAACTGACCTCTTCAAAGGCTGCATATCTGGTCAATCCAGCTTGGGATAACCTCTCCTCAAGGGTCACCAGCCCAAGTGTAAATGATTAGAAAGCTGATCATATCTGTTTGCATTTAGTACAGAAATGGAGCAAGAGTCATCTTCCTAAGGTTTGTCTAAATCCGGAAAGCGTGTAAAAGGAGGAAGGAAAAGTGGATGAAGTGAGAGGCACAGAAATCCAGGGCAGGAAACTCGAAGGAAGAGAGTGCAGACTGTAACTGTCTTAAAAGGAGATCTGCCTAGTCCCCTCTTCTCTGAGGAAGCTCCTCCAGGTGGGCGGTCGATTTCAAGTCGGAATGTGCTGGAAGCAGCACTTGTGGCCAGTGGAAAGGGCCCTGGGGCCAATCTCTGGCAAGCCGGAATCCTAACCCTGGTACTCCCTGGACCTGCGCCCCGCTAACCGCCACAAAACAAACCAAAAAAACCCCGCAAAGCCCTCACCGTTCTGAGCCTCACTTTCCCCATCTGCCGAGGGATGGGGTTCTTCGTGCTGGTTCCCTAGTTTTGGGGACCGGACCGTGAACCTTTTAACAAGGTATGCCTTGGTTTGCAACTGTTGCGAAAAAGTCCTCACTTCCCCCAAAAGGTTAAGAACCAGTGTGCTCCCTCTCATCTCTGCCTTTCCAAGTTTCTAAGGCTCTGGAAAAAACATTTTTCTCGACTCGATTCCTTCTTGGGAAAGCACTGTTTAACAGCGAGACCAGTTTTCATGATCTCCTCTCAACCTCGGGCCGACTGCGGGACAGCCCTCTCTCACTGACCCCCCACCTATGACCTCGGGGAGGGCACACCAGGCTGCAATCTGACTCCTCAGTCCCCTGCCCACAGCATTAATTACAGAAGTAGCCTTAGAATCCCCAAAGCATTGCAAACACAACAGAAACTTTCTCCCGTCTGGGTGCCGGCGGGGCCGCCGGGACTTTTGCTTTGCAGCCCTCCGGGTGAGCGCTCCAGGGTTTTCCCGAGCTCAGCGCAGGGTAGAGATGGGGTGCTACGGGCGCCCCAGCCCGCCGGCCCGAGGCTAGACTCGCGCACTCACCCGGCTCCGCGCCCGAGCCGCCCGGTGAGGGGCAGCACCGGCAGCACTTGCTGCGGACCGGCGCCCCAGCCGCCTCGGCGGCCGCCGGCTCCTCACTCGTCCCCGGGGGTGCATAGTCAGTGAGCAGCAACCCAGGATCCCCCGGATCCGAGGCCCCGGCGTTGTCTTGGGGCTGCATGGTACAGACCCAGTTCTCCCCGCTGCCGGCGCGAGGTCTGGCGCCAGCAGCAGCTGCTGGGCTGCCCAGGTCTTCCGGCGGGCGCCGGCACCCCCCCGCGCATGCGCACGCGGCCGGCGCCCCTCCCACACCGTCGCCCCAGCAGGGCTGGTGCCTGGGCCCCTAGAGTACCCGCAGTCTGCGGGTTTTCCTAGCTGCAGCTCGGGAGCATCCTACCCCGCCTCCCAGTTGAGGCCGCGGTAGCCACAGCCGGCCTAAAGACGTCGTCTATCCCTGTGCTGCAGCCAGGGTAAGCGGGCGAGAGACTTGGAGCCATCCTTTCCAAGGCAGACTGGCCCTCTCCCTCTGTCTTTGCACAGACAGGGTGGAACGCTGGGCACCAAGTCCAGGCTTCCCGGGGTCCTGTGGCCATTTCTTGGAGTAGACTATTTATTTACTTGGCTTCACATTCAGCACCTCTGGAACTCCCCAGAGATCCTTACAAAGCACTGTGTCTATCCTTAAATGATTAAGGTCCCACTCCCTCCCTATGTTCCAAGTAGGGTGTATTTTTCTAGTTTTAGAAGTTTTGGAAAGAAGAAGAAGAAGAATTGAATTATTGTGTCATCAGAGAGAAATAGGCAGAACCCATTTATTTGTTCTTTGCAATAGTTGGTAGCTTTATTGATCTTTAGTTTTGTGAACGGAGACATCCTAATCTGGCCAAATGTAAGATTCAAATAATCTGATGTAATTAGACCTGGTAAAATCGAAGATGTATACTACTTGGTTGTTAGGATTCACTAACAACTTCTTTATGTTTAGGTAATTCTTCTTTCGGCTCTCTGTTTTCTTTAAACGTGGGAAAGGATGAACATGGCTAAACTGTACTAAGTCCAATTGCAAGCACATTACCAAACAAGAGGGTCAAGTTTGCCTTTACTCAGGTATTTGCACATAGTAGTTCACAGCTGAAACAGCACTGAACTTGAAGTCAGGAACCCTGGGTTCTGGCCATGCGTATGTGACCTCTGTCACCACTGTACCCACGAACCTTCGGTTACTTCCTTTCTTTGACAGAGATAAGATGTTTCCTTTCCTACTTTGTAGAGTGGTCATGGAAACAAAATGAAGTGATGAGGGCAACAGCATAACATCACCTGGAAAACACTTTTCTGGAAAATCAAGAGGTTTTCTTTTTTATTGCCCAGGCTAAAGTGCCATGCTAGCTCACAGCAACCTTAAATTCCTGGGTTCAAGTAATCCTCCTGCTTCAGCCTCTTAGGTAGCTAGGACTGCAGGTACCTTCCACCATACTTGGCTGATTTTTTTCTATTTTTGGCAGAGGAGGATTGGAATGTTCTGAAACTCCTGAGCTCAAGTGATCCTCCTGCTTTGGCCTCCTAGCATGCTAGAATTACAGGTATGAGCCACTGTGCCTGGCCACAAAGTGTATTTTTAACAAAAGTGAGCATATAATTTTATCCTCCAGGCTAGAACTGTTTTGTTTTTTTTTTTTTTAATTGAAAGAGGGCGCTGTTTTAAAAATTATGCAGGGCGATAGGCATGACCCAGGACTGTCCTGGTCATACTGGGACAGATGGCCACCTGAATTCTAACATAATCAGCATATACCTTTACCTTGTCTGAAAAAGAATTTTAGGCTGCTTACAAAAATATATGTAACAGTTTTTGTGATTGTGCTTTAGGTGGAGAAATTTCAGGGCAGGATGGTTAGTCATAATAACCATGATTATTATGGAATCTTCTCCAAATGTTTGGAAAGTCACGTTTCCCAATTACATTTTAAGATTTAGATGTGGGGAGGGTTTGGAGAGTCTTTCTCTTCAGGTGGTGAAGATGGTGGCTAGAAGTATAGTAAGGGAGAAAGAAGCATGATAGTTTGAGAAAGAAGTACTCTGACAATTTCACTTTCAATACTATCCTTAAAAAGAAGAGTAAGAGAAGACAGTGAGTACCCTGCCAGGGTTGATTGTGGTGATGGAGGGTGGTGGGATGATTTTGGCTTTGCAGTTTATTCCCCTCCACTGCTGACCTTGATATATGAATGGTATCAGTCTTACATATTCTCTCACCTTAGCTAAACAAGTAAGAGCCTTGCAGACATAAAGGGCAACCAATGAGAAAGTATGGATCAGACTGGAAGGTAGAAGTAAGGCTCTGCTGCACCACCCAACAGAGATGTGGAATGGTTAAGATCTTCCTTGAACGTGGCCGAGTGGGGTAGCTCACGCCTGTAAGCCTAGCACTCTGGGAGGCCAAGGCTGTGGATTGCCTGAGCTCACAAGTTCAAGACCAGCCTGAGCAACAGAGAGACAGGTCTCTAAGAAAATAGCCGGGGATTGTGGTGGGCACCTCTTTCATTTACTCCCAGCTACTTGGGAGGCTGAGGCAAGAGAATTGTTGGTGAGCTATGATGCCACACCATGGCACTCTACCAAGAGTGACAAGTGAGACAAAAAAAAAAAAAAAGAAAAGAAAAGAAAAGAAAGATCTTCCTTGACCATTGTTATTTCGGAGCTTTGGTGATGACATAAAGTTGGTGAGAGTAGATGCCTCCCTCCCATGGTATGAAGAATGAGGCAGAAATTCTGACTATGTGGCACACCAGCATAGAGCCCATTTCAGTGGTCTAGATGAGATTTTGACCCCCACGTAGAGGAGGCAGGGAGGGAGGATTGTCTTTGAGGGGATAGGAGATGGAATGGATAGGACTTGTTGCCTAGACATGAAAGAACATTGCTTCTGTATGCAAAATCACGTAGTGTTCCAGCTGAACCTATGCTGCTTCTGAAGGGATTTAATCTTCCATTGAGAACAGGAGTTCTCACTGTGATGCCACGTTACCACAGTGGGGGTGGCTATCCCATAGTTCTAGTGTCAAAAGGAAGAAGGAGGCTGAGACTGGAAGACAGGTAGGGTCTACATGTCCCTGCTAATAGCAGCAAGTCCAAGATCCTCACCATCACTTAGGCAGCAGAAGGAGACTTCTAAGTATGGGAGGAGGAATTAGACTCCTGATTACCAGTATTGTTTGCATATCAGGAATGTTCCTAATGATTTGGGGAGTAGTTTGTTCCAAATAGTGAAGTCTAATATTTATGTTTGGGGTTGGCCCCTATGGCTCAAATGGCTAAGGGGCCAGCCACATACACCTGAGCTGGCGGGTTCGAATCCAGTCTGGGCCTGCCAAACAACAATGATGCCTGCAACAAAAAATAGCCTACATTGTGGCAGGCACATGTAGTCCCAGCTACTTGGGAGACAGAGGCAGGAGAATCACTTGAGCCCAGGAGTTGGAGGTTGCTGTGAGCTGTGATACAACAGCACTCTACCCACAGCGACAGCTTGAGGCTCTGTCTCAAAAAAAAAAAAAAAAAAAAAAATTGTGTTTGGGGGAAAATCAGTACTTTGGAACATAAGATCATATTTCTGAATAGCCTTTATAGTAAATGAAAGAGGGAAGAAGCAAAAAGAAGTCATTTAGGATAAATGTAGGATAGAATACTGAAGAGGCAAAATAAATTGTTCCAAGAAATAAGAACTGGCTCTAGAAATAGAGAAAAAGACTACCAGCGATGGTGCCTCAAAGAAGTTACCATAGAATTACCATATGACCCAGCAATCCCACTTCTGGGTTTATGCCCAGAAGAATTAAAAGCAGAGATTTCAGTAGATATTTGCATGCTTGTGTTTATAGTAACATTATTCACAACAGCCAAAAGGTAGAAAATAACCCAAGTGTTCATCACTGAACAAACAGATAAACAAAATGTGGTTCCATACAATGGAATATTATTCAGCCTTAAAATGCAATAAAATTCTGGTTGACTCTAGCCACATGCACCGAGGCTGGCGGGTTCTAACCCAGCTTGGGCCAGCTAAACAACAATGACAACAACAACAACAAAAATAGCCGGGCATTGTGGCGAGTGCCTGTAGTCCCAGCTACTTGGGAGGCTGAGGCAAGAAAATCACTTAAGCCCAAGAATTTGAGGTTGCTGTGAGCTGTGATGCCATGGCACTCTACCCAGGGCAACATAGTGAGACTTTGTCTCAAAAAAAAAAGCAATAAAATTCTGGCACACACTATAACATAGGTGAAAGTTGAAGAAAAGTAAAATAAACCAAACCAAAAAAGACAAATATCATATGATTCCATTTATTAGAGGGGCCTCACATAACCAATTTCATAGGAACATAAAGTAAAACAGTGGTTGCCTGGGGCTGGGGAGAGGTGGGAATGGGGCGGTAGTGTTTAATGGATGTGGAGTTTCAGTATGGGATGTTGAAAGAGTTCTGTGGATGGATGATGGTGATGGTTGTACAGTAATGGCATTGCACTTAATGCCACTGACTTGTATACTTAAAATGGTAAAAATGGTAAATTTTGTTATATATGTGTTACCAAAACTTTTTTTAAATGGTTAAAAGATAATACCAGGGAAAACCCTTCTGAGAGATTGCAGCAGACAGCTGATAAGCCAGCAATACAGATCCCAAGTTGCCGTCAACCTGGGCGTGTATGCAAACTGAGGCAAGTAAGATACCTTCCCCAGGACTGACTCATGATCAGGGAGGAATGAAAATGAGTGCAAAAAAGGAAGTGACAGGAGGGGAAAAAACACATGCAGTAATGTGTTCCAAGCTTTTGAAACTTTTCCATCCACAGATCCTCAATATCGAAATAGTATGAATGTAGAATTCTAAACTTCAGCTTAGGATTTAAAGGCTCTATCAGATTTTGGAAGTTTCTTTGAAGTCCTATGTTCCATCTTAAATATGTATGCCAATTTTCTTTCTTTTCTTTCTTTCTTTTTTTTTGAGATAGTCTCACTATGTCACCCTGGGTAGAGTGCTGTGCTATCACAGCTCACAGCAACCTCTAACTCTTGGGCTTAAGCAATTCTTTTGCCTCAGTCTCCCAAGTACCTGGGACTACAGGCACCCGCCACAATGCCCTGCTGCTTTTTGGTTGTAGTTGTCGTTGTTTGGCAGGCCCAGGCCAGGCTTGAACCTGCCAGCCTTGGTGTATGTGGTTGGTGCGCTCCTTG